AAGATACACCATTTCAAAAATTTCTGCATGTACAATTCAGTGACATCGATTACGTTCTTCCCATTGTGCTGCGATTCTCACTTTAGATGAAGGTTTACAGAGCAAAATAGTTTCTCATTAAACAGTTAGTAAACATATTGCACGGTGACAATGGTTAACAACCCCACTACATCTCAACACTGTCCTTACTCAACCTTGGGTTCCCTATCACCGGCTTTCCTGTCCCCTTCTCCCTTCTAGTCCTTGTCCCTGGGCTGCTGTGCCTCATTAGTCCTGTTTTGTTTTATGGGGCTGTCCAATCCCCAGCTGAATGGTCAACCTCGGGAGTGACTTCACCACTGAGCTAAAAGGGTGTCTTGGGGCCATACTCTTAGGGTTTCTCCAGTCTCTGTCAGGCCAATAAACCTAGTTTTTTTTGTGTGTTAGAATTTTGTTCTACATCCTTCTCCAGCTCTGTCCAGAACCCTCTGTTGTGATGATCCTGGTCAGAGCAGTCAGTGGTAGCTGGGCACCATCTGGCTGTACTGGACTCAGTCTGGTGGAGACCTTGGTAGCTGTGGTCCATTAGACCTTTGGACTAATTTTTTCCTTGTATCCTGTTCTCTTCATTGTCCCTTCCTCCCGAAGGGGTGAGACCAGTGGAGTATCTTAGATGGCAGCTCACAGGCTTTTAAGACCCCAGACACTACTCACCAAGGTAGAATGTAGAACATTGTCTTTATAAACTGTGTTATGCCAGTTGAGCTAGATGTTCTCCCAGACCATGGTCCCCACAGCCAGGGCTTTTTTTTTGTTGGGAGTTGTTTTATTACCTCTTCAATCTCTTTTCTTGTTATGGGCCAGTTCAGATTTTCTGTCTCAGTTGTGTTAGTTTAGGTAGATAGTGTGTTTCTAGGAATTTGTCCATTTCCTCTAGGTTCTCAAATTCGTCGGAGTACAATTTTTCCTAGTATTTTGTTAATAATCCTTTTTATTTCATTTGAGTCTGTTGTAATGTCTCCCATCTCATTTCTTATTTGGATTATTTGCTTCTTCTGCTGTTTTTCTTTTGTCAGTTTGGCCAGTGGTTTGTTGATTTTGTTGATCTTTTCTTTTCAAAGAATCAACTTTTGGCCTTATTGATTCTTTCCGTTGTTATTCTGTTCTCTGTTTCATTTATTTCTGCTCTAATCTTTATTATTTCCATTCTGCTGGTGGCTGTGGGCTTTTTTTGCTGTTCTCTTTCTTTTTGTTTGAGTTGTAGGGCTAACGTTTTGGTTTTGGCGCTTTCTTCTTTTTTGATGTGTGCATTTATTTTACAAATTCTCTTAATTTCTGTTTATCTGGAAATGTCCTAATTTTGCCATTGGATTTGAGAGGAG